TGACAATTGGTAGCAGGTGCATCCACTAACAAGGTGGACTCTGTCTTGTTCAGCTAGTTCTGGTTGACTATCAGTTGCAGGCTTGATGTTTCTGGCTGGTACCCAAATGGGCTATCCCACATTCTCTGGATAGACACAAGCATATCCTTGGCCCTTGGTCAGCAAAAGCCTTTCTATGGGTGTTGGAATCCAGGGCCTGAATTCCACATCTGCTGCTACATTTAGGGCAAACATGCAGGTGGGATGGGGTCTAGCAGCTGCTCTGAGAGCCTGGGGTACCTGGGAACTGCCACAAACATGGGGACCCTCACTGGGTGCAGATGGGATGACCTCACATGGGTTATTGCCTCAAGGTCGTCTAAGTTCATCCCATGGGTATCTGGGGGTGTCTAACTAGGCATTGCTGCGTTGTCTGCTGACACGTCATTTTCACTGTCAGAGCGCTCTCTCCCTAAGTCATCAACTGATGTCTGTGAGACAGGGACCTGGAGTGACAGGCTCTCACTCACAGATTCATTATGTTTGGTCATCTGTGTGGGTTTCTGAGAGGGGGTATCTTTCCCATGTTTGAGTGCTTAAGAGCAGAACGGCACGCCAACTCTAGCCAAAGGAAAACACGCACAGCACTGCTGCCATAACAAAACAAATTCCTAGCACCTCAGTGGTTGATGGCATTATGCAGGGGTTCCCTACGTTAGACAGACAGACAGTGGTGTATCAGGTCGTACGTTTGTCCTGTGCTTAGTGGGAGACTTCCTTGATTCGTTAGGTCAAGGCCATATGCTCACACGGTGTCTCCGGAGCGTCAACTCTCTCAAGGGAGGGTAGATGACTTGGTTCCAAATTCTGGGATGATCAGTCCCTTATGTGAATTCACCAGGTGAACTGAAAGTAAGAGGAGCTGAGAAGCGGCGTACACTTCTGGGCGATGTGTGCTTAACCTGGGATCACTTAGACCGAGAACAAGGACAAGGAAAGGGGCGTAGGAGGGGGTTTTGTGCTCACCCTCACAGAACCGAACAGCACACAAAACACCGAGGGGCCTACTTGCCAAAATCAAGGGAGGACCTCACCGAGTCCGACACACTGTCTCTCTCTCAGTCACATTGGTGCCAGATGTTGCTGTGGATTCATTCTGAGAGGAGGAGCGTGGTGGGGGCAAGAGGCACGGAGTCACCACACAGATCCCAGGAGTTGGGTGAAAGTGGGTGAGAGGCGAGCAGCCTGCAGACTTGTCTATTTCAGTTGGTACAACAGCTTATATAGTCGAAGCAGCCAATCCAGTCAAGGGGCGGTTTATGCCCTGACCAATCACAGCCTGTTGCCAGGCAGGCTCCATTGCCAGGTGGTTTCCCAGGGAGTTTCTGAAGCAATTCCTGAGTAACTGATGCTTTCTTGCCAGCAGCCATCTTGGCATGGCCTTCTCATTATACCACACGATCCCTTAAGGGTGCAGGGGCCCCGACATGTGGTGCCAGTGCCCCCCGAGCCATGAGGGTGCCAGCATCCCAGCCCCATGAGTGTGCCTGAACTACCAACCCCATGAGGGTGGCTGCTGCCCCTGACCCTGTGAGGATGGCTGCCACCTGACCTGGTCAGGGTGGCTGTGGCCACCGACCCTGTGATGGTGCCCATGCCCCTGACCTGTGAGGGTGCCTCTGTCCCCCCCATGAGGTTGCCAGTGCCCGCCAACCCCTGTGGTGCCAATGTCCTCCATCCCCCATGAGGATTTCTGAGCCCACCCAATGGGGAGAGGTTGTCTACATGCCCCCCCACAGTGGCAGTCACAGCTACCCCCAGCCCTCCCCCACCCCAACCACAGCCCACAGTTGGGCCTTCCTCAGTCTTCCTGGGCAGACAGAACTCCAGGAGGCTCCCGAGCTGTCTTTCAGAATCCCTCTCAGTGCCCCTGAGGAGAGTCAGCCAAGGTAGGCACCTGCCACTCTACCTGCCTCAGGACCGCATCTGCCCCACTGCACCAGCCCCACACTGGGGGGCGCCCTGTGACCTCAGGGCCAGGCCCCTCCCTCTCCCTGCAGCTCCAGACTCCCTCTTTCCTGTTTCTGTCCTTGGGCCAGCTGGCTCTCTCCTCTCCTTCCCAGGCAGCCTCGGGACTCAGTGTTGCTGCCCAGGGCCTCCGTGGCTGAGCCTGGGGGTTCTCGGGACAGGATCCACACCACTGGCAGAGAGGCCAGGGAGCTTGTGGTTGATGGTGTAGGGGCTGGGAACTTGGGGGGTGTTGTTGTGGAACAGCCAGAGGTCTTTGAACTTCCTCCTGGGCGTGCCACACCTGCCCCAATCTGAGTTGTGCTGCTGGGGGCAGGGGGCAGGGAGTACTAAGCCCCCCAGCCTGGGAGCCCCAGCACAGGCCAGGGTGAAAGGCTGGGGGTCACCTCGTCCCTTGGGTGTGCAGTTGAGAGTGGCCGGGGGTGAAGCCTTCGGTTGCTTGATGACCTCAAAGCCTGAGAATCCTCTGCACCCATCAGCCCAGGTGAGGCGGGGACACACAGCCTCCTGCCTCCCATCTGGGCATTGTCACACCTGCTACTGGCTGAAGGCAGGGTCCTCAGCCCCAGATGAAGCCCCGTAGCCAGGGCAGGTCAGCTATTCTGAGTTCCGCCTGGCCGGGCCGCAGAGTTGGCCTAGGGCCCCACCTACCACTCTTTGCTGGCCTCTGACTCTCCCTCTTCTGCTTTTCCCCAGCAGGGAGGGCCCAAACTCGCCTCCACGACCTGCAGCCCCAGACCAGCCGAGGCTCCCTCTTAGATTTATGAGTCTGTGGCCCCCTGCCCGCCCTGCCTCCTCAGGGTCCCCTCAGAGGACTCCTGGGGTTTTTGAGTACCCGAGGGGCCTCCAGCACCCCCTCCAGCCATCTGTTTTAGCTGCACGCTCCTGGTTCAAGCAGGGTTCTTCCTCCTGTCTTTCTCCATCAGGCCTGCTGGCTGCCACGTGAGCCTCCCAGGCTAGTGCTGGCCCTGGCCAGTGGGTCCAAAGGCAGGGCCATCAGTGAGGAGGGAAGCCCGAGAGGGCCAGGCAGTGTCAGGACTGTGGCACTGCTGCCTGGGAGGTGAGTGAGAGGTGGCATGAGTGGCAGGGGAGGCCCTCTCCAGCCTCCACCTCGACTCCCCGGAAATTCTGGTCATCTACTCCAGCTCCTCCTCCCATCTTCTTCCCCTTCCTGTCCATGGCCTTTTCCAGAAAGCTCACCCACATGCCCACCTGCTGCTGCTTCCCACCTCCGCCCTGCCCACCAGTGCCATGGCCTGGCTGCTCTTGCCTTACCACCTGTCTCCCTCCTCTCTCTCTGTTCTTCTGCTTTCTCTCCCACTGCCAGCCGATTGGGTCAGGCAAGGCCGTCCCATCCTGAGAGCCCCAGGCCCCCCTTTGACATCTAACCAGATCCTTTCTCTTCCTCGGAGACCTCCCTTTGCCAGTCTGTCCAGAGAGCTGTTCTGTGACTTGACAGTGGCCCCTCAGCCCCTAAGCCTCCCCTCATCTGTGACTTTCTGTTGTCTGGTGAGCTCACACCTCCAGGCATGACCTTGGTGAAAATTTGTGCCCCTCTGCGGTCCTACTCCTGCCCTGTTCTATAAATATAAATACTCATAAATACACACACACACACACACACACACACACGTGGCAGTGCCCCTGGAGTTGCAGTGTAAGGAGACCAGCCTGGAAGAGGCCTCTTCACCCCACTGAACGCTCAGCACAGCACAGAGGCTGCCCACTGCTGGCAGGCCCTGCTGCCCTGTGCAGTGCCCACCCGCAGCAAAGTAAACCCTGGGCCCTGTGACAAAGCTGCTACACATGGGCCAAGCAGTATGGCTCTATCTCTTTATTTCAAGATAATAACAGGAGCCACATCACCATGGTGCCACAACCCTATCTCCGCCTCTTTCCTGGGCCATAGACTGTCAATAAATAAGTTTCCCAGCCCCAAATAATTATTATGACCTCCTCCTCATTTGCGAGCTCCAGCCTCAGCTATGATACAGGGGAGGCCCTACCCCCAGCATATACAAAATATACACAAGTACAATATGTACGTGGGGGTGGGGGTGGGGAGGCCCACTGGAGGCAGCCTCTTCCCCTCATCAGGCCTAGAGTTAGCCCCAACTGTCCTAGGGCCTGACAGAATGCTGCCTACTGCCCTGCCCCAAAGTGCCTCCAAAGAAAAGGGAGTCCCCTGAATGCCTGCCTAGCCTGCCTCGGCCCTGCCTGGCTGGTGTGCCTCTCTTAGTAAGGGGACAGGCGCCCCTGCATCGCCTGCTCCAGCCGACCCTTTGAGGGCTGTTGACCGTGCCTCCCAGCTGGCCTGCCTGGGGGCACAGGCACGGAGTGAGCTGGACCACGCCTGGCCTACCATGAGCGCCACCTGTGGTAAGCACCCGGCCTCCCATTAGCCTCAGCTTGCCCAGGCCACCCTGCAATTTGGGACCGGAGCCCAGAGAGGACCCTCATCCTATTGTGCCCTCCTCGCCCATATACCCTTACCCATGATGCCCTGGCCCAGAAGTGACCCTTACCCATGATGCCCCTGGCCTGGAAGTGACCCTTGCCCATGATGATGCCCCTGCCCCGGAAGTGACCCCTGCCCAGCGATGCCCTTGCCTGGGTGCCCCCGCCCAGCAATGACCCTCAATCAGATGCCCTCCTCGCCTGATGCCCTCATGTCCATGCCTGCTGATGCCCCCATGTGATGTTCCTGGCCAGATTATGCCGGCCAGGCTGACACTTAGCCCCAAGAGGGGCGATGAAAACTGCCTGGCTGACTTGCCCAAGTGGTTGAGCATCCCCTGTTCTTGGCTGTTCTGGGGGCCACACAATGCTGCCTGTGTTGGTCACGGCCTCTAAAGATGGAGCTGGAAATGAGGAGGCCCCAGGAGCCCCCGGGGTCCTCCAGAGAGGCAGCCTAAAGAGGCCTTTCTCTCCCCATCAGGGGTTCTGGCTAAGGAGGGAAGGGAACTGGGAAGGAACGGCAGGGGATAGGGTGGCTAGCAGGGGTGGAGTGGCAAGGATGGGGTTGGGGCTCTCCGGGCTGACGGCATCTGGTGTTTAGACGATAATTTCGTCATGCTCGTCAGCCTGGTAGAAGAAGGGATGCAGTGGTTGGTGCCCAAGCCTGGGCGCTCCCGGGGTTCTGCATCTCCTGTGGCTGCTTCCTGAGCTGCTGCACAGTAGGGTGCTGCTTGTGCAGCCTTCTTCTCAGAGTGCAGCTGTTTGTAGGCGGCAACGTGCTGCTGCAGGTGGAACAGGCACTGGTCGCGCTGTTGGTGCAGACCCTGAGCCTTCTGGCTCTTCAGCTCCATCTGCGGAAGACCAAGGCGGGTGGGGGAGCATGAGGGCAGGTGGTGGCTTGCTAACTGATTCCACTGGTTGCAGGGGAGTGGCGCAGAGCCCTGCGTCTCCTGCACCCAGCCTCACACCTCATCCCCTTCTTTCCCATCACTTTAATTGAGGCCACACACGAGAGGGAAGGCATCATCTTTAGGGGAACACTTGTGCCTAATACTTTACATGCACAATCTCAGCTCATCCTCAACACCTGTGTAAGGAAAAAATGCTAAGTTCCTTTGTCAGGAATCTGAGGCTTAGCAAAGGGTAGCTAAGGTGGGTGAAACGCCTCTCGTGGGACAATGATGTCCAGGCCTGGGAGGATCCCGGGGCTACCAGCCCTAAGAGAGGCAGGACAGTCGATATGGAGGTCACCTGTCACTCCAGACTGGAGCGGCCTCCCTCCTGGGCCTAGCACTGCCCTCCCCAGAGACTTGTCCCCATGGCCCAGTCCTTCACAGTCAGGCTGAGCATTACCGTTTCCTTCAGCTCCCCCAGCTTCTCCTGCAGCTGGCCGAGTTCCCTGGCCAGCTCGTTCTTGATGTGCTGCTCTGACTGCAGCGAGAGGGTGAGCCGCATGTTGTCATTGCTCTGCACAGAGAGAAGCAATCCGTTGCCACCCAAAGCGGCTGCATCCGGATCCCAGCACCAGGTGTCCGCCTCCCATAGTGCCTGGAGGGCTGGAAGCTCAGCCCCTCTCCTCCGACAGACATTTGAGCAGGGTCCTGGCTCACAGGGCACCTGCCTAGGTCATCACCGTCCCCTTTGGTGGGGGGGAGTGAAGGCCCAGAGGGAAGTGTTTTGTGCCAGAGGCCTTGCCCAGGGAGGCCGAACGCACCAGTCTCACGAAGCCATCCTGCAGCTCGCCAGCTGCTCCTTGAGCTCCCGTTCTGCAGGAGCACGCGGCTGATGGTCACGCGGTCGCTCTGCTTGCGCTCCTCGGCCTGGCTGCCCCACAGCTCCACCTCCCGCTCCAGCTGCAGCAGCCGCTGTTCCTGCTGCTGGTTCAGGCGACTCAGGCCTGCGTTGTCCTGCACCTGGGCCTGCAGCTGTCCCGCCAGGCTCTCCAGCTCATTCTGCAGCTGCTCAGCCTGCGCCTGCAGCTGCTGTTCTGCCTCCGACGGCCCCATGGGGGAAGATGGGGACTCTGGGTGGGCAGGCTCAGCTGAGAAAGAAGCAGCCATCAGGGCCCTGGCCTCTGGGTTTTCAAAAGCTCCTGTCTTGGTCCTTAGCTCCTCAGGCCAACTTCTTGCCCCCACCCCGGTGCTGGCTTTTGGCTAACAACTTTCCATATTCAGATGGTCATTACCCTTCCAAGCCAGGACACAGAGTGCTTGACCGTGCATGGTGGACAGTGGGTACACCACCCCTATTTACAGATGAGGTCACCTATGCTCAAAGAGATAACAAGACTTGCCATCCACCGGCACAGACCTGCTTCCCTCTGCCACAACACCCCTCGCCGGGGCACCTGACACCCATCCGGCTCCCAGGCCACCTCTGCCCCTGCTTACCCATCTGGCTCTTGAGCTCGACCACGGTGGTCTCCAGCTCCTGCTTCTCCTCCCTCAGCGTGCAGAGCTGCCCAGAGCACAGGGAAAAGAGCCATGAGCAGGGGCCACTGCCTCCCTCTGCACCGACGCTGCCCCCCAAAACCCAAACACGCAGCCACCTCTGGCTGCAGGCCTCAGCAGGTGCACTTGCTGTACTGTGCAACTTAGGAAGCAGCAGGGGACGGCCTCCTGGGATCCCGACACCCACACAGGAGGTCTGGATTGAGTTTCAATCTCCTGGCTTCAGCCCTGGCTGTTGAAGGCATTTGGAAAATGAACTAGTGGATGGAAGATCTCCCTCCATCTCTGTCTGCCTGCCTCTGCCTTTCCAACGGAAACCGAGATGCTTAAATACACATTTTTGAAAAGCTGTATCACTGAGATCTGATTGTGTAGGTCCAGGCAGGGACTCTCTCTGCAGAATTCTAGCAATTTCTGGAGGATTCTAGGGCAGGACCAGAATAAGGATTCAGAATTTCCATCTCTTGGCTGGGGGCCTCCCTGACAGTCCCTGGGGATGGTGGCCCCCGCGGGCTAGGGCTGGGGCTCCGTGGGCTGCAGCCTCTTACTTGTTGCAGCAGCAGCTCAGACATTTCCAGCTTCTTCTGCAGCTCCTCCGTGCCCAGCTGCAGGGTCTTCTTTTCGGTCATGAGGACTCGAAGCCTCTCTTGGAGCTCAGAGTTCTGCTGCTTCAGGTCCTCATTGTTTTGCTGTAGTGAGAGGAATGAGCAAACAGAGTGGACCACTTTGGTGACCAACCCACCTTTTGCTGCACCTGCCAAGAACCTTGGTGTTGGAGGGGTCCCCAACAATCAGGTCACTCCCGTGGCAGGCCAGAGAGAGGACCTGAGCTGCCTGAGGCCATCGCATGAGCTGGTGGCACAGCTGGGACCAGAGCTTGGCTCTGCACACGTCCCAGCCTGTACAGCCACTTCCTCCTCATGCTCCCCGGCACCCCTCCCCTCGTCACCTGTACTAAGGTCCCCCAAACTCCTCCCGCCACCTTCCCCTTCTTACTTGTTCTTGTATAACAGCAGTTTCAGAGCATCTCGCTCTTTGGTCAACTCCTTGGTGTGCTGCAAACACAGAAAAGCTACGTCAGATCTCAGGGACCCTGGAGGGGGAGGGGGTGGGGTGCAGACACAGCAGCCGTGCCATGAGCAGACACAGAAATCACATTACTTTTTCCGCTTGCTCCATAGTTTCTTGGTTCTGTTGTTTCTGTGGGGAGAGTCAAAGAAGGGAAGGTGACTAAGGATGTCCCCTCTACTCCACTCCCAGAGCAAGAGGGGGTGGGCAGGGGGCCAGGGCGGGATGGGCACGTTCTCAGACCCTATGGGCACAGGACCTGTCCCGAGGCTCCCAAGGAAAGAGCATGTGGGTCTTTGCTGGTTTTTGCTCACAGCTGTGGAACCGCGTCTGAATCGGGATTCTTCTTAGGGGACAGTAAGGTGAGCCTCCAGAAACGGAATGTGAGAAAAGACGGGCCTTCCACTAGGTTTGGATTTACAGGGGTGTGCGCATCGTTCGACGGCTCAGCACATGTTACATAGGGGTTGGGGCTGCTCTTAACAGCGGGGATACAGGAATGAAAAGCACAGGTAAGATCCCTTCTCGCCCTAAGGTTGACGTCCCAGGGAGCCTGGAAATCTTGGATTCTTAGAGCTAAAAGAGACCTTTGACAACTGCCATTTCAACCTCCTTGGGAAACTCAAGCCCAGGGTGGAGAGGCGCTTGTCCAAACTCAAAGCTCAAGTCAGGGCCTGAGTCAGGGCAGGGACATGAGGCTCGTGGCCAGCGCTGAACGAGAGGCCACAATCCCAGGGCCAGTGTGGCCAGGGTGCAAGCAGGGGTGTCTGGAGAAGAGAGGAGGCGGAGAGGGCAGTGACAGGACGAGAGCCATGCTGCATGCTCCATGCTCTGGGGTCCCTCCAGCTGAGACCTGGCCCACCCAGCACCCCACTCTCCCTCGGCACCAGGGGGCCCCCAGCCCCTTTCTTCAGAGCCCATGGGGAAGCGGAAGCCCAGGGTGGGCAGCATGGAATCAGGGGACCCCACTGGGCTCTTACCAATTCCTCTATGGTGTTACTGAGCTGTTTGTTTGTTAGATAGCTGGAGTCCAGGGCTACTGCCAGCTCTTGGTACCGGCTCTGAGGCGCATGCAGAGAGGAGGAGTTGCAGGAGGGTTGGGGGAGAGGTAGAGAGAGCAGTCATTAGGGCTGGTGGGGGGGCATGGGCTATCTCAGCTGGCAGTGGGGCACTCAGCCCCCGCTGTGGGAGAAGGGGGGGGCTGGCCCTGCAGAGCCACTCACCTCCAGATCCTTCATGTAGGAAGATGTGAGGCCCTCTCCACCGATGTAGGACGTTGACTAGAACAGACAAGAGCTCCCATGGAGACGCTACGTCCTCTACCGCCAAGTCCCTACCCTTGGACTACTTCTCTACCCCACCTCCACCTGGCAACTCCTCTGCCCAGCTTGGCCTCTTCCTCTCATCACCCTCTATGCCTACCCTCAGACTACCTCTCCACCCCACCTCCACCTGGCAACTCCTCTGCCCAGCTTGGCCTCTTCCTCTCATCACCTTCTATGCCTACCCTCAGACTACCTCCCCCCCCACACCTGGCAACTCCTCTGCCCAGCTGGGCCTCTTCCTCTCATCACCCTCTATGCCAGCTTCTCCTGGGTCTCATCACCATCCCCCTCCCTTCCCTAGTGATGCTCTCCCTATGCTTCCTGCGCTGAGATACATTGTCACCGTTCTCATGGCCATGTCCTTCATCTGTATGGCTTCCAAGAAGAAGCCATCACCCAGCCTGCCCAACACGGCCCAGCAGGTCAGTCTATTCCAGGATCTCCCCATCTCTCAGGAATCCCAGCCTCCATTTCTGTCCTTTCCTCTCTCTCCTCCCTTCCTGAGTCCCAGTGTCTGGGGTACCTCGGAGACAAGACCATTGAGCTGCTGAGCAGGTTGACGCAGGCTCTCCGTGGAGGACAATGTCCTAGGGACAGACACACAGAGGTTAGGGGTGCAGGGGCTTGATGCAAAAGAGGTCCTTGGGCCGTGGCCTGCCCTCACTCCCATGGCTTAGGGACTGCTGCCCGCACAGGAAGACACTCACTTGGTCTCATCTATGAGGACAGGGCCATAGTCAGCATCATGGATCTGAGGGAGAAGAAAGAAACAGTGATCACCTGATTTCCAGTAAGAACCACCCAGGGGTGGCAGGGGCCCAGCTCCTTCCAGCAACCTGCCACTGCCACAAGCTCAAGAGAAAGCCCCGCCTTGGCCTCCCCCACCCCAGTGCCGGGAAGGGTGCCTGGCATTGGGAACCAAGCTGCGGGAAGAAAGGAGAAGAGAAGGCACAGCAGGCGCAGTCCTCTGGGAAGGGAGATGGTGCAAGCATACGGGGGTAGCAGGCACAAGGACAGAGGCACAAACCTGAGTTGGTGCCATGCTAGTTAGACTAGCGCCAGGGGACGCTACACCTCCAGGTAACACGGTGGCATCAGCAGAGGGTGGTGCAGGAGCAGCGCGGTCTTTGGGCGCCTGTCAGGGAACAGAGCAGGGGGTTAGGGGGCCATGCAGGAGAGGAGGTGCCTCGCTGCCATGGACACAAGGGCGCAGGGCAGGTAGGAAGATGTTGTAGCAGTCAGAGTGACAGTCACACATGCTGGGAACCACAGGGGTTGTGGGAATGGCTTGCCCAGGCTTGGGGACACGTGGCATCTTTTCAGGTGGCCAAAGCTCAAAGGAAGGGGGGGCTACGACCTCCATGGACACGAGGCCCTGGTTCTCCCTGGACCTCTGCAAGGGCTCTGACCTCCGGCAGCCACAGCAGGCAGAAGGAACGGGCACCAACATCAGGGAACACGGCAGTGTTCTTCTAGAAAGCCAGTCTCTGCCGCACAGTGACCCTAACTCTAGGCCCCTGCTGGGCCGAGGCTGCTGGTGGTGACTGGGGCTCCCTCCAGGTAGCTCTCTGCCGCTGCCCTCTCCTGCTCTCCGCCCTTTCTCCCTGCCCTCCTCTCTGCCTCAACCATCAGCTGCATTTCTCTGATTCAGGCCTTTCCAAGGAGAAATGTTGCCCAAGAAGCCCCTCCCTGCTTTCTGGAGATAAAATCAACCACAGCCGCCTCATGGGCATACCTCTCAGCCCAATCCCGCAGCTCCAGAAACACCTACTCTACCAAAAGAAGCCAGGAAATCACAGGTAAGACATCTGCTCTTTGACTTGGCACATGGAGGTCATGGCGCCTCATTGCCAGAAAAACTACTAGGGAACAATGTGGGGATCTAGCACTTGGAGCCATGGAGAAGCCTCTCCTCCTTCTCCCGCAGCGGGACCCCCTCCCTCGGCCAGCCCCATCCAGCTTCTTCCCAGGCTCAGGCCTAACTCTCGGTCCAAGCATCTGGCTCTAGAGACCACCTCATGTCAGCAGGCCAGATGGCCTCACACAGCCAAGATGGCTGAACAAGTGACAGTAGCCAGAGGAGCTGAGTGGAGGCAGGCAGTTGCTGGCTGCTCTCTGGACCCTTCAGCCCTGGCCTCTGAAAACCCCAATCGGCTGCCTCCTTAGAGTCCAGGCTGCAAAGCCTACAGATGAGGATGAGGCGTGCTGAGTCTGCAGTTTACCGTGACCATGGCCTGGAACCCACCGCCCACAGCGATTGTTGTCCTCAGAACCCACTGTTGCCTTGACAACGTCTGTGACTGCATCTATCAGGTAAGAGCAGCGGGCCAGGCATGAGACTTTAGAGAGGCTGCACTCCCAGCCATGGACCCAGGTCCCTCTTAGCATCTTAGTTCCCACTGAGCTCTATTTTAGACACAGAAACAACAGGGGAGTGAGGAGAGCACTTCTCTGAGCAGTTTCCTTGACTTGTTAGGTTTATTTTATTTATTGGAAAGGCAGAGTGACAGAGAGAAAGGGAACTCAGAGAGAATCTTCCATCCACTGGTTCACTCCTCAAACGGGCACCATGGGCCAGACTGGGCCAGGCCAAGCCAAAGCCCAAGAGTCAGAAACACCAATCAGATCTCCCACATGGGTGCAGGGGCCCAAGCACTTGGGCTACCTTGTGCTGATTTCTCAGGCACATTAGCGGGGAAGTGGATCAGAAATGGAGCAGCTGGGACTCAAGCACTCATATGGATGCCAGTATCATAGGAAGTAGCTCAACCCACTGTGCCACAACACCAGCTCCTCTGAGCAATTTTAAATATAGGTACCGTGGCCAGTGCTGTAGTTTAGCAGGTAAAGCCACCGCCTGCAGTGCCAGCATCCCATATGGGCACCAGTTCAAGTCTCGGCTGCTCCTCTTCTGATCCAGCTCTCTGCTATAGACTGTGAAGGGAGCAGATGGCGGCCCAGGTCCTTGGGCCCCTGAACCCATGTGGGAGACCTGGATGAAGCTCCAGGCTCCTGGCTTCCGATCAGCCTAGCTCCGGCCGGCGCAGCCCTTTGGAGAGTGGACAGCAGATGGAACACTTCTCTCTCTCTCTCTCTCTCTCTCTCTCTCTCTCTCTCTCTCCTCTGTAACTCTGCTTTTCAAATACATAAATAAGTAAATAAAAATTGAATCTATGTATCGTGATTATTTTGTGAACAACCAATTCACAATTCTAAGTCTTAAGGTGGGAGCTTAGCCTAGGTGTCGGGATACCAGATGAGAAGGCTACACCTCACTTCAGAGTGCCCGAGCCTGATGCCTAGCTCCAGCTCTAACTCCAGCTTCCTGCTCATGCCAACCTAGGGAGACACGGTGATGGCTCAAGTACACTGAGCTCCTAGAAGTCATATACACAGCTGTCAGGACTTCTCCGTGCCTGGGCCCTGCCCAGACTATGCCACTTGGTGTCTCCTCTGAGGCCATAGAGTGAGTCACGGCCCCTGGCCAGACCTAACTGGGTGGGAGCAGCCATGATGGTTGACCAGCCACCTGTCCCTTTCCCCAGGCCCATCTCTGGATCAGCCCTGCTACACTGGCTTGGCTGAAGGCCCTGGGGCAGTTAGACAGGAAGTGCCAACATCATCTGCAGGTTATGGCCTACCTAGCCCCATGTGCCTGTGCCCTGCCCCTCCCCCAACCCAGGCTCCCTGCAGCCCTGAAAGGTGTTCTATGACCTCACAATGCTGCCTATGACCTCTTTGCTCCCTCTGCCTCCCCCACTCACCACGTGGATGAATATTACCCACTTTTAATCTTCACACTGGCCTCAAATGCCACCTCCTCAAGCTGCAAGTCCATTCGGAACCCACCTCCCTCACCTAGCCACGCAGCTGGCCTATTGCCGCCTTTCCCCTGCCCCTCTCAGAGGACTCTGTCACCCCCACGGTGTCTCCTGTCTTGTTCTTCTACTTCCACCACTGTGCAGCCAATGCCTTTGCCGTCCACGGGCCCAGTGAATACGGTTGAGCGTCCCATCTGATTTGTCAAAGAGATGAGGGGCAGGCAGAGTGTCCTAGCACTGGTCTGTCTGGGTAGCCTCACATCCTTGCTGGTTAGTTCCTCTGAAAAGCTGACCTCCATCCTTGCGATTATAAAGCCAATTCATTTTCTCTTAATTCTACCTTCTCACTCTCAAACCAAAATGGAATTCATCAAGTTGAAAAATCACTCACTTCCATCTGGTCTACTTGCCCAGAGGGCAAAATGTAACAGAGTTTGTATTTTTTCAAATATCTCCTGGTCTGACCGCACCGGGCATTCAAAGCCCAAAACCCCACAGACCTGCTCTGAAAGTTATTCCCAATTACCGAATCTTTGAGGTGTGCCTTACCCTCTCCAAGATGATAAAAGACACGAGGGAAGGGAAAAAATGCAATTAACCAAGCAGGGGAGGAAGCAGACATAAGCAGGCCGAGGGTTAATGGCAGCAACATAAAACAAGCCAGGGGCAGAGGCTCCCCCAAACGAGACAAGCCTCAGGGACATGCACACCTGCGAGGCAGCAAGCCAGAGAGGGGGTCTCGGCACTGCCTCCCCTTCCACTTGTCCTATGGGGCAGCGCTACCCCATCGGAACGGTTAAGGTCAGACACCAGCACCTTCAGTATGGCCTGCATCTAGAGGCGGTGAAAAGGGGAAAACAAGGGCAGGGGAAGACACAGAGACGTGGCTTAGAGAGAGGCGAGGATGTCGGGGAAGGAAGAGGTGGAGTCAGGAAACGGAGGCTGAGGAAGAGCAGAGATCCACACCGTGGCCCCCCAGGCCATCCTCTCAGACTGGCCATTGCTGCCTCACCAGACAGAGGGAAAAGTCCCCAGGCCCCAGAGTCACATGAAGCGCAGTCACTGACCAGCACGGCTCTCAGACCCTCCCCCAGACACGACCCCCACTCTCCATGTTAAAACCAGACTTCTGCAGAAGGGTTCTCTTGAACAAGGGAGGCTACAGCTCAACAATTAGAAGACACTGTTCCAATCCAATAATATCTGACAGCCTGAAACTGAAGCTCAGGGGAGGCTGTGACTTTTCTGAGGTCACCCAGAGCCAAGGCCGAATCCCAGTGCCTGGGGCTTCCTAAGGGGACAGCCTGATGGCCAGGCTGCTCTCGCTGACCTGGCTTTTCCTGAGGCCAGGGATGAGGAAGTCGCAAATACCAGCGACTATGAATGTTACAAGACCCTGTATTCTGGATTAATATGAGAACAGCAAAAACTCTCAAACTTTGTGAGTAAAACATCAGCCCTATCTGTTTCACAGATGTGGAGAGAGAGGCCCAGAAAGCTTGAACAGTTTGCCTTACATCATATCCCTAGCAGAGGGAAAGGGAGCATTCAAACCCAGAATCCTTGACCAGTAGCTAACACTCCCTTCCACCATCTTCCACTGTCCTCTGGATCCCCAACCCCCCACCCCCCATTGCCCCTTAGCCCCCGAGCCCCCAGCAGCCTGTCCAGCCAAGACTCACATCCTCAGTTGAGTGACAACCCCGAGAAGTGGTTGTCTCAGGGCTACTGCCGTTTTTAAGGTTTTTCTTCTTTTTTCCTCCTGCAGGACCACCAGGCCTGTTCTTCCGCTGATACTCTCTTAACTGTGGAAAGGAAAAGCAGTTGATTCTCTGGAATGCCCTAAGCCCCTGCGGTCACATCCTACTTCACAGTGTTCACAAGAGCTCTCATGTCCACCACTGACTTCATGCCACTGACAACCCTTCAAGGGGCTGGAATGATCAGTTAACGTCTGAAGAACTGACAACATGGCTTCAATAAAAGGGAATGATGGAATTTAAAATCAGCTTCCAACTCTCACTTCTGGGGTTCTGCCAAGAATCAGCAGCTGCTGGGAGCAAAACCAGAGGTAGAGGTAGAAGGTTAAACATTATGGGGTCAGGAATTGTACTTTGTGTGGTTTGGAAACAAGACATTGGGTCCTTTCTTCCATATCAGAACCTCACAGAACTTCGAGGGGCACCCCGAGGAACCCTGGACACCGAGGAGAAAGAGTAGAACCCAGGCATTATTCCAGCCAAGGGCCCATTATGATGTCTTGACAGGTTCCGTCCCAAGCCACAGGATGGCCTCACCAAGCTGCTCCCTCGCTCCTCTGTGGCAGTGCCCTCACCCAGCTTCAAAAACTCCCCTGGGGAGGGTTCAGGCTATAAAGTTTAGTCTCCCAAGGTCTGTTTCACAGACGGTCACACAGCTGTCACTCCAGAGAGCCTGAGTGTGGGGCACTCTGCTCCCAGGGTCAGGGAAATTGAATGGGAGCCTGAGAACTCGCACACCCCCCAAAGTCTCTGGAGAGTAGAAACCTGGGGGAAAACCAAACCAGTTTTCCCGCGGTCACCCAGAAACACTGCCCACACTTCCAGCTCCCCGGGAACGGGACACATCTCACTGTCAGTGTCCGAGCTGAGGAAGGGGGTCCCCAAGTCCCCAGTCCCCTTGCAGGCGGAAGCCGAAAGGGGGTGAGGACTTAGGGGACTGGGGCGGGAGATCAAAGCCCGAGCTGGAGGTAATGCCAGTCCCCAGGGGGATTTGACCTCACTACATCCCACTCTGCCCTACCCACGCTCTGCGCAGGGGGAGGTGGGGCACAGGGTAGGGACCCGAGTCCTTGGAGACTGAGCCCACAGACCCCAAGGAGGTCCGGCTTCGGGAGGCCAGAGGTGAGGTCTGAGGCTGGGCCGAGGAGCCCCAGGAGCCAATGGCCCAAAGTCACCCAGGGGCGACAAGCCAGGGCGGGGGCTGGGTGCTGAGGGGGTGGTGCTGGCTGAGAGGACTTGGGTGGGGGAAGCCAAGGGGCGCTCGGGCTCGACCCGAGTGTCTGAGGAGCCGCACAGACCCCGCCACGGACCGACAATCAGACGGGCAGTGGGCTGGGCCGGGGGGCGCGACCCGATGTTTTACCTTTTTCTTGGCCGCAGCCAGTTTGCTCTGTCGAGTTTCCTCCGACACCGCGGGGCGGGGAGGGGTCGGGGGGAGGGGGGGCCACATCACCACGATCCCGGCAACCAATGCGAATTGCTCCCAGCAGCTACCGCGCAGATGTGTGACTGAGCCAGGAGACGCCCGTTCAGGGCAGAACTAGGCGGGGCTGGGTGGGCGTGGTCGCCACACTTCAAGCCCATTGGTCAGTGAGAAAGATGAAACAAAGAAGGGCGTGGTCCGAGGCGTCAAAATGGGAGCTGCGCGTGCAGCTGTCACCGCCCACTCTGGGGGCGGGGCGATTTCCCTTGGGTGCGCGCGCAGCTTTCTCTAGTTAGTCTGCGGACCCCAGAGGCCGCTCTCCGGCCCGCGCCCTGGACCCCCTTTCTCCACAGGCGCCCCCGAACCGGGGCCTTCGGAACCCAGGGCTCAGGAGGTGGGCGGAGCGCAGAGCAGGGGACACTGCATCAGTTCACGAGCCCTTTCTGACTCCTCCCAGATGTGCCCCAGACGTTCTCGTTTCAGAAATCCCCTCGGGGGTCCCTTTCACGTCCTCCATACACTGCCCCTCTCACACCCAGCCCTTCCTCGAGGGGCCCCACACTGATCCCGAAAGCGCGTCTGTCCCCGCCCAGCTGGATCCAGTCGGGCGCGCCCAGTTCCCGGCGGCTCCTCCTCCCGCGCCCCCACGGGCTCCCTTTCCCCTCAGAGCAGCTCCGGGGCCTCAGCCTCTCCCACGCTTCCCTCCAGGGCTGAGCAGACCCGGCCGCAGCTGCCGCGGGGCCTTCCGGTCACGGTGAGTAGCCCGCGCCCCCCCGACCCTGTGCGTGTGCCTGCGCCCCCCGACCCGTGAGGAAGTCTGTGCCCCCGACCCATCCGTGTGCCTGCGCCCCCCGACCCGTGTGGATGGTTGCAGACCCCATCCCGTGAGGTTGTCTGTGCCCCCCGACCCGTGTGTGTGCCTGCACCGCCCAACCCCATGAGTGTGCCTGCGCCCCCCTATCCGTGAGGATGTTTGCGCTCCCGAACCGTGAGCATGGCTACGGACCCAGACCCCGTGAGGATGCCAGCACCTCCCGACCCCGTCATGGTGGCTGCACCCCCCCGATCCGTGAGGAAGTCTGTGCCCCCAGGTCTCTTGCGTGTGCCTGCGTTCCCAGATCCGCGCGGATGTCTGCGCCCCCAACCAGTGAGGGTGCCTGCGCCCCCTGACTCCGTGCATGTGCCGGAGCCCCCAGACCCTGTGAGGATTTCTGTGCCTCCCGGACCGTGAGGGGGCCTGCGCCCCCCGACCTGTGAGGAAGTCTGCGCCCCCCAACCCCATGAGTGTGCCTGAGCCCCCCGACCAGTGAGGATGTCCAGGCCACCGAGCCGTGAGCATGGTTGCGGACCCCGACCCCGTGCGGGGGGCTGCAGTAGACATCAACCCGTGAGGGTGCCAGCGCCTCCCAACCCCGTGAGGGTGCCAGCGCCTCCCAACCCCATGAGGGTGGCTGCACCCCCGACCTCTTGAGGTTGCCTGGGCCCCTCGACCCGTGAGAGTGCCAGCGCCCACCGACCAGAGAAGATGCCAGCACCCCGACCCTGTGAGTGTGCCTGGGCCCCCAACACTGTGAGAATGTCCGTGCCCCCCGACCTGTGAGGGTGCCCGTGCCCCCTGACCCGTGAAGTTGCCAGCGGCCTCCAATCCGTGAGTGTGCCAGCACCCCCGATTCTGTGTGGGTGCCAACGCCCTCCATCCCGTGAGGATTTCTGAGCCCACCCAATGTGGGGAGGATGTCTATGTGCCCCCCCACACAGTGGCAGTCACAGCTACCCCCAGCCCTCCCCCACTCCAACCACAGCCCACAGGTGGGCCTTCCTCAGTCTTCCTGGGCAGACAAAACTCCGGGAGGCTCCCGAGCTGTCTTTCAGAATCCCTCTCAGTGGTCCCTGAGGAGCGTCAGCCAAGGTAGGTACCTGCCACTCTGCCTGCCTCAGGACCACATCTGCCCCACTGCACCAGACCCACACTGGAGGGCACCCCTGGGATCTCAGGGCCAGGCCCCTCCCTCTCCCTACTGCAGCTCCAGATTCCCTCTTTCCTGTTTCTGTCCTTGGGCCAGCTGGCTCTCTCCTCTCCCTTCCCAGGCAGCCTCGGGACTCAGTGCAGCTGCCCAGGGCCTCCGTGGCTGAGCCTGGGGGTTCTCTGGACAGGATCCGAACCACTGGCAGATGTGGGTGCCTGTTGCTGTTGATTTCTCAACAATGTTGCAGTGGATTCATTTCTGAGAGGAACAGCGTGGTGGGGGCAAGAGGCGCGGAGTCACTACACAGACCCCGGGAGTCCAGTGAAAGCAGGCTTGAGGTGAGCAGCCGGCAGACTTGTTTATTTCAGTTGAAACTACCTCTTATATAGCCAAGACAAGCCAATATGGTCAAGGGGCAGTCTATGCCCCATCCAATCACAGCCTGCCAGGCAGTTTCCAAAGCCATCCAATCACAGCCTGCCAGCAGCTTCCAAAGCCATCCAGTCACAGCCTGTTGCCAGGCAGTTTCCAAAGCCATTCAATCACAGCCTGTTGCCAGGTGGGTTTCAAAGCCATTCCTGAGTAACTGATGCTCCCTTGCCAGTGGCCACCTTGGCATGGCCCTCTCATTCCACCACACCAAGCCATAACAAAGAGCTGGATCAAAAGTGGAGCAGCTGGGACTCAAACCGGTGCCCATATGGAATGCTGGCACTGCAGACAGTGGCTTTACCTGCTACACTACTGTGCCAGCCCCAGAACAAGCATGTATAACACAGCAAGTTAGAATATTGGATTTTGAATATGAATTCACATTAGGATATGCTTTATATTGTAGGAGTTTATGGATAGAGGTTATGGGCAAACACAAGACTTGTGTAGGTAAGTTTTACATAGATACTTAGGCATGAAGATAAATTTTTCATTACCTACACAATCATATTATTGAAAAATAAAAATAGAGATAAAGGATGGAAAAAGAAAGCAGAGGAGTCATATGTGATTTTTTTTCAGGGCCCATATAAATAGTGACACTTTGGCAAGGGATTTTTCATGAGATTGTTTTAAGGAAGAAATTTTTCTGAAAAGGAAACTCAAATGTAGCACACACTTATTTTCTATGATATTTCTGCTTAAGCAAAGTGCTTATGCATGTATTACTTTCTTGTAAATTCAAAATTACCGGACAGTTCATCGGGAAAAACAACAGGAGAAAGTCAAAAAATTGATTTAGAGTTCACTTTTCTTTTACAATGTAGACTGACAAAATATTTTTAAAATAAATGTAACCCTTGATATTGTAGAAATATTGCCATATTGCAAATGTGTGAAATATGGGAAATACTTATAAATAGTAAAAACACAAAAAGACACACACACACACATAAACTGTACACATACTAGGGTCTATTCTTATCTTTAGGGGGAAAGGACTCAAAGATAAATGTCTCCCCAGTTTTTTAACTCAGAACTACTCTCAGTGGTTCACACATTTTACTGATGAGTAAACTTGCTTCAAGTTTTCCATGAATAGAAATTGAGAAATTTGTCAATTGTACTCTATGGAGCATGTAAGTGACCATACCATAAACTCTCAAATGCAATGGTGTGTTGGAGTTCTTTCCTGGATATTGTTCCTGACCTTGTGGGCAGTGAGAGCCACAGGAGAGTCAAAGGTACTTCAACTGACAGATCTGTTACTTGGAGGCTCCACAAGGAATCAATGACATCTTTGTGCAACTTGAGGGCTTGGCTGCTCCTCTTCTGATTCAGCTCTCTGCTATGGCCTGGGATAGCAGTAGAAGATGGCCCAAGTCCTTGGGCCCCTGCACCATGTGGGAGACCTGGAAGAAGCTCCTGGCTCCTGGCTTCGGATTGGTACAGCTCCAGCTGTTGTGGCCAATTGGGGAGTGAACCATCAGATGGAAGATCTGTCTCTTTCTCTCTCTCTCTCTCTCTCTCTCTCTCTCTCTCTCTCTGCCTCTCCTCTCTCTGTAATTGAGACTTTCAAATAAATAAATAAATCTTTTTAAAAAACTGTCAAATAACCCAGCTTACAGGTCTTAAGAGTACCTGAAGATGTAGAAAGAGAGAATGGAATAGAAGGCCTATTTTTGTGAAATAATCACAGAAAACTCCCCCAATTTGGAGAAAGAAAAGGATGCCAAGTACAGGAAGCACATAGAACACATAAGAAACATGACCTGAAAGGATCTTCACCATGACACATTGTAGTCAAACTTTCCACAGTAAGGCATAAAGAAACATGTTCGTATGTGTTTTCTGCTGTAATCAATTTCTAAAGTGTATACACTGACAAGAAGAACTACACAGAGTACGGTCATCGAACAAGGTATATCTCCTGAGAGGGGCTCCAGGCGGCTCAGCCAGTGCTACTGTTTGTGTTTCCCACACCGCAGGAGCCCTCAGGAGGATGCTAGGACTCCGGTATGCAGTGGGCTGGCCGTCAGGACCACGGGGTGGTGTGCAGTCCCCGCCTGCAGCTTCTTTGAACCCTGGGGCATCAGCTTTCCAATCTCTGTGTGGTGAGGAAGAACTTGAACTTACTGTATGACCCGATTTCCTTGAGTGAGGCAGCAGATCTCAAGCAGGCCTCTCGGCGTAGGGGTCTGGGTCAGTTTTCTTGTTGCTAATCGTGCAGCAGCACAGGCTCGGTGTGTGAGAAGGAAGCAGTATTATTGACCTCATGGTTTTGGTGCAGGGTCTAGGGGCAGCATCCGGTGATGATCTTCTTGCTGGTAGAGTCCTGGGGTGGCACAGAGACCAGCGGACAGACAGAAGGGGTGCAGAGGGGGCCAATCCAAAGTGGTCTATGTTGCGGTCCCCTAGGGATAAGGCGTTAATCCATGAACACATGAATGGATTTATCCTGATCACTTCCTGCAGGGCCTCACCTGTTCTCACTGCTGAATTTCTCATCACTGGATTAACTGCGCCCATGAGTTTCAGAGGGGATAAACCATGTTTAATAGAGAGCATGCAGGCTTGCAGGAGGTCCCTAAATTTCCAGGTCTCCTCCCACCACCTAGTTTTGAGATTTAGTGCTTCTGCCCCTCATGTGGAAGAAGGCACCCTTTCTTAGGGCTTTCAAGGAAAGAAGGAAAGGACTTCAAGCTTTTCTTCCTACTAGGATCACCTATTATTTTCATTGCTTGCAACCTCATCTGATTTTCTGAATCACGAACATGATTATTGCCTGAGTATTACCAAGAAAATCTTACAAGTTGTCATGTGACATGCTAGAAAGGACCCGTGTGTGTTGAATGTCCTTATGTACTTCTGTTGCCATGTCAGGGATTTTGTGCCTCAAAAAATGTTCCCAAGGTCGTATGTTTATATTTGTTTTTGACAGGCAGAGTTAGACCTCGAGAGACAGAGAGAAAGGTCTTCCATCCATTGGTTCACCCCCCAAATGGCTGCTATGGCTGGCATGCTGCGCTGATCCAAAGCCAGGAGCCAGGTGCTTCCTCCTGGTCTCCCATGCGGGTGCAGGGCCCAAGCACTTGGGCCATCCTCCTGCCTTCCTGGGCAGCAGCAGAGAGCTGGACTGGAAGAGGAGCAACTGGGAATAGAACTTGGGGCCCCAACCGGGACTAGAACCCAGGGTACTGGCACTGCAGGCAGAGGATCAGCCAAGTAAGTCATGGCGCCAGCCTATGTACTTTTTTTAAGCAGTTCATAGTGAACAACATTTTCATTATTTTCAGTTCAGGAGAGCCAAAGTGTTATCTTGTAGTTTTTTTTTTTTTTTTTAAGAATAAGCTAAGAAAAATCCTGTAGTACTTATAATATACAAATGAACTATACTATTAGATATAAATTAAATGTTATATTTTTATGAAGATAAATGCCTAGTAATAAAAGCAAATTTTAAGTTTATTGATTTATAGAATTTCTCTTTTGGAAGGGAACCTTCAATATCAGCCATTTTCATTCAAATTATAATATTTTTTCACTTTTAAGCAATCTCTGGTGTTATTAAGATTTCTTCACTAAACTTACACATTAATAGAATTATCTTAAAATACATTATTAATTACTTAAATACATTAATATAACACATCGGAAAACAAGTCTTACTACCTGCTATTGATTATAGTTATCAGAAGTATTAAGATGTTGTCACAAATTTGAAACAAATAATTGTTTTGTCTCTGAAGTGATTTTTCAGGAATAATGAATAATGGAAATCTATAAGAGATGTTTGGATAACATCTGCCTCATGGACAATTCATAGAAATATAGTTATTTATCTCTAGTTGTAGGCTTAATTTTGAAGTTATCATTTTTATGGCAATTGTGATAATACAAATGACCACAAACCAAATAATAAAATAATTGAAATTCCTATACTTTGAGAAAATGGATAGCTTCTGTTAATGTACCAAACATAATTTTTCTATACTAATTTATTAGAAACATTTCAAAAATATTTCTTTCAATTTGGGGAGAGGTAAAATAATGAAAAAAATCAAAATTTCTGAAAATTAAAGTATTTGCATTTAATTTGTTCATTTTCTGCCTCATCACCAATGTAGTTCTTTAATTGGATAGAAAAAAAGTAGATTCAGAATCTACATTTGTTGACCACTAATAACAGAGTAGGGCAGTGAAGCATCATTAGCCCAATGAAACTTACAGGATTTCAGTGGTGGGGAAATCAGGACTCTTTCTGAATTTTGTTAGGGAAATGTGTTCTCATTTTATGTGGAGCTGTCTACTTTTGGTATTTTTATTTTAATATATATTTTAAAGTTTCAGCAGAACTCAGCACTAGGAGTGTCTACCTTATTTTTTGGGGAAAAATCTGACTAATTTTTAAGAATGGGGCATCAATATTGTTTCATTTTCTCAGTTTTGAATATAGTGTGTCATTCTGTGAAAACCACCTTGCCAGTGTGCTTTTTGTTTAGTTTGCTTTTTAAGTGCAAACTTGAAAGTTTTACTTATAAAAAGTGACCTTTATGTTTTTCCATATGATTGACAGAGCTTTTACCCAGTTATCTTCATTGTATGACAATAAATCTATTCAATAAAGATTAACAAATGCATTAAAAGTGCAAATAATCACTATGGTATGCTTGCTGGTTTTATTTATGATGATGTATTGATCATCTCTGTCAGGTACTGTGATAGATATGTCTATTGGAAAATATAATTTCATTTCCCAAAAAGGCAAGCAAGTTAAAACCCTTCTGCAATTATGAAGTCATCCTCTGATAACTTACTGATTCATTTCTTGGTGTCAAAATCAAGAACCAATTATCTGTTTGACTTGGAGATATTAGGTCCCTGTGGTACTATGAAGAAAATTATTTAGTGCCTTTCAGCTAGTGAAATGATGATTGGTGGGTCTGTTTGTTGAACAAAAAGGGGGAGGGGAAGAGCACACATTAGCTATAAGGCTGTAGCTATCTCATTGGAGGTAGTCATTTCAGTCTTTGGAATTAATTCTAGAATTTAATGATAACTTTAAGTTTGTGTAAAAAGTGGTTAGTAAAAAATTTATTTACCTCATTATATAAACATAAGACTATGTTTTAAAACCTTCTTTCCCAGCCAAGATACTAATTTTAATACAAAATGGGAAAATATTCAATACAGTGTCTCCTTTTGGAGGCTTCCTACAAGTGAAAGCAGATTTGTGGGGGATGATTGAGTTTTGAGCAACTTCCTTGCTTCCAAGACAAAACCCACATTGCCTTCGTCTGTCCCTAAAGTGCCAGACCCAAGCTACTTTTAAGAAGCTACTGTACTCCACCTGCCTTGGATGAAGCAAGCAGCCCCTTTGCTACCAGAATTCCCCAGAAACAGCATGGGCATTTTCCATGGTAGAGACAGCCCTTGTGAATTCTGCAACTGCAGGAGCTCTGGAGCTCTACTTGCTTGCTCTGTACAATATAGAGAAATTCTCACGGCCTCATATGGCCGTGAGAACCAGTAGCATCTCATACAGAATTCCAGAGTACCAGAACTAAAGAGGCCTCTTCTGAAACTCTTGGCACATGGTGCTGGAAGGCAGGACAGTGCATCATTTTTGCATGCCTTGTAGGCACAAAGGAAAGTTCTCTCCACTATCTGAAGCTCTAGGATTGCTGCTGCTTGTGTTATAAACCCTGGAATAACACTCATCTGTGGGAGTGATACAATCCTATCTTTGTATGCTTCAGGCTGGAATTCAACCCTGGAATAATTGGCAGTCAACCTGAGAGACCTGGATAAGGACCCCACTGTATCCCGTATCTCCAGGGCTGTCACTCTGTGTACTGTATTTCAGAGAGTCATGTAAATACACCTAGACCCTAGGGAATGGAGCCTATAAGCATTCCAGTGCTCCAGACCCAGACCTGCTGATACACAACCCTCAGCATAAACTGTATTCACCCTGTAGGACTCAGGGAATGTCTCCTTAACATTTCCCAGCTTGGGACTTGAACTCATGATGCTAAATTTCTGGGTATTAGTCAGGCTAACATATCAGGATCTGGGGAATGTCTTATCCACATAGTATAGTAAAAAGGCCATAAATTTTGCTGCCACAAACTCCAGAAATATTCATATTTGCCTGGTAGAAAAGGGTAGCATGACCAGAAATGTGGATACGGACATCACAAACCCCAGTATGGCTGACAACTCTAGGGACTAAGAACCTATGGAAGCTCATGCCACTTCAAAGTCATACTGTAACATCCACAAAAGGCTGAAGAACGGAAACCTGTGGCACATGTAGACAATGCTGACACTGATTACTAATGAAGAAATCAAGTCTCAAAAACTTCAAAAGATTGAAATCATACCATGCGCCTACCTTCTCAGACTGAAATCAATCTAACTAGACATCAATAATAATAAAAAAGGGCACTGGAAAGTTCACAGGTACATGAAAATTAAACAACATGATGACCAATGCATCATTTTAAAAAATTAAAAAGAGGTCAGAAAATTTCTTAAAACAAATGAATATGAAAACACAACATATCAAAGCATAGAACACAGCAAAAGCAGTATTAAGAGGAAATTTTATAATGACAAGTGCTTACATTTAAATTTGAAAGATCTTAAATAAATGGTCTAATGCTGCATCTCAAAAACCCAGAAAAAGTGGCCAGCACTGTGGTGCAGTGCTGCTCCTCCGCACGCGGAGGAGCCGCACCGGACCGGGCGCTTGTTGTTCCCTTTTTTTACAAGTCCTTTCTATAGTAAAGTAAGAATAAGTAAACAGCAAACTCCCAAAGCAAGAATGAGTAGAGAGAAATGAGAAAGAACGAAGTAACGAACTTCCCCGCGAACTCTCCAACGCACTCTCCAACCAACCCACACCACCATGCCGTCTCTCTCCTCCCATATAGTCCTCTCCACCAATCCCAACTCGGCTGCCCACACGCCGAGCACGCCGCTCTCCTCCAATCAGGAGCAGCTCCCGCAGCCTGTCAAGTTGGTGAGAGGCAGCTGGGTAGAAGCCGCCTACTTCTCTCCCAGCGCCATATTGTGGGAGAGCAGATGCACAGAATAAATCTTAATTCCAGTAACAGTATAGTCCGAATTGCTCCCCACAGATCCCCCTTTCTTTTTATTTTTTGGCGTTGATACGCGCCTGTGTAAAGTTCAGTGTGATCTTCATGCTATTGACTCTTGTTTGTCGTGCTACTTCAGAGTTTGTTGAAAAATGTCCCGTATTCCAAAGATCCCAGGGATTGGTTATTCATTGTTTTCTTCCTCAAATGGAGTTTTCTTCTTCTAGATCTTCTGCTGGCAGGTTTATCAACCGAATTCTTCTCTCAGGGGTCCATATTGGTTGTGCCGCACCCTGTGGAAAAAAACAAACGGCGCCTCGTACTCTTCTGAGTAAGGGGAACGGGCCTTTCCATTGGTTGTCCTGTAAATCCTTCCACATTACCCACTGTATTGATTCCTTATCAACTGATTGAGTATGCATTTCTGCAGGTGTTTTACCGTTCTTTTTCTTGTTCAAAAAATTAATTGTATAAAGAGCTAGGGCCAAGACATCCTTGTTGGATGTGGCCATTTCCCCTATTCCCCCTTTTTGTTTAATTATTAAATTTTTTAAATATAAGTGAGCGCGTTCTACCACAGCTTGCCCCTGTGGATTGTATGGAATACCGGTAATATGGGAGATTCCGAATTCTTTCAAAAATGCAGCAAAACGATTTGATGTATACGCTGGGCCGTTATCCGTTTTGATCACATGAGGAACTCCCCAGGCTGCAAAAGCCTGCAAGCAGTGTTGGATTACTTGTTGTACTCCTTCTTTATTCATGGCTGTGGCCATAATTACACCTGAGTATGTATCTACAGTGACGTGAACACAGCTTTGTCGCCCAAAAGAGGGGATATGTGTAACGTCCATCTGCCAGATATGTCCTGGTTTAAGGCCACGGGGATTGGCTCCCGCAGGAATCTTTGGAACTATGGTAACAACGCACTTTTCACAGGATCTAATGATATCTTCTGCTTGCTTGCGGGGAATATTAAATTTAAAACTTAAAGTGTGGGTGTTAACATGCCATTTAGAGTGATATTCTTTAGCTTGTTCCAAAGCGGTGCATGCAAGCAAGAATCTTGAATAGTGATCTGCCATCATGTTTCCTCGAGTAAGTGGGCCAGGTAAATTAGAATGAGCTCTTATGTGGCCTATGTAAATAGCATGCTCTCTTTGATTTAATAACCCCTGAATTTCACTTAGATAAGAATAGACTGAGGAGGATTTAAGAATAAGGCACTGTGTAGCGAGCATCTGAACTGCATTCACCACATATGCACTATCAGACAAAATATTCATGGGTGCACTCTCTTTGCGTAATACTGTTGCGATAATAGCTAATTCTGCATGTTGTGGAGAAGGGGATGCTGTTAAAACGAAATATCGTTGATTGTTAAATATAGCTGCTCCTGTTCCGCCTTTAGCTCCATCCGTAAATACGGTAACTGCCCCTTGAATTGGATCCCTTCGCACCTTCTGCACCCGTTTTATTGAAACCTGTGTGCAGAAGTTAACAAATGGATGGCGAGGGTAGTGATTGTCAATCTCTATTTGTAGAATGAGAACTATGTATGCCCATTGCCAGCATTCCCTTGTAAAGGCTTCTACTGCCTCTTGAGCAAAGGGAACTACACATCGCTTTGGAGTCTTCCCCGCCATTTCTGTCGCCTTTTTTATTGCTGTTAATATTAAATCGGCCACCGCAATGCCTTGGGTGTATAGTACACGCGGTGCATGTGAATGTGGGTATACAAACAACAAGGGTCCTCCTTGCCAAATGACTGCGAAGGGATACAGCTGTTCCATAAAAATTAATATTTCTAGGGCTTGTTGTGGATCACATCTTTCCATCTGCATTGCTTTAATTTGTTTTTCAATTTTCTGTAACGCCAAGCGGGCTTCTATTGTCAGTCTACGAGGGGAATCAAGCTGGGCATCTCCTTCTAAAATATTGAATAATGGCATCATATCTTCGGTAGTTAATTTACAATAGGGCCTCAACCAATTTAAATTGCCACATAATTTTTGGAAGTCATTAAGGGTCTGTAACCCATCTATTGCAATTTCAAATTCTAATGGGGTTACCTTTTCAGAAGTTACTTTAAGTCCTAAGTACTGTACTACTTCCCCTTTTTGTATCTTCTCTGGCGCTACTTGTAACCCAACTTTTTCCAAATATAATAGCAGCAGCTTATATGCTTCCATTAGGTGACTTTCACTTTCAGCCGTTATTAACAAGTCATCCATGTAGTGTAAAATTTGTACTTTTGGGCACTGTTGTCGAACCGGCTCTACTGCCTGGTCAACATATAGCTGGCATATGGCAGGACTGTTAGTCATTCCTTGGGGAAGCACCTTCCATTCATATCTTTTGTCGGGACCTTGATGATTAATGGAAGGTACGGTGAAAGCAAACCTCTGAGTGTCTTGTTCATGTAGAGGTATGCTAAAAAAGCAGTCCTTCAGATCGAGTACTATTAGTGGCCAATGCTTTGGGATCATAGTAGGAACCGGGAGTCCGGGTTGCAATGCCCCCATGGGTTGCATCTGCTGATTAACAGCCCGTAAATCATGCAACAACCGGTATTTCCCTGATTTTTTCTTTATCACGAATATTGGCGTATTCCATGGGGAGGTTGATGGTTGCAAATGGCCTGCCTCTAATTGTTGTGATACTATATCATTTACCGCAGCCAACTTTTCCTGGGTAAGGGGCCACTGTGGTATCCACTTTGGCTTGTTGTCCAGCCATGACAATGGCAGCGGCTGCATCTCAGTGGCCCCCACGAAAAACCCGTGTCCTGTCTTTTAAAATCGCCTATGGGCTGGGCTAGGTCCCTTCTGCCTTCTCTGGAGCCTAATCCTCTCTCCTGATATCCCTTTTTATACATAATACGCCGTCCTGTAGAACTCTCCAATTGATCCTCATTTGTTAACGTCAGTCCCAATTGTTCTAAAATGTCTCTTCCCCATAATGTGATGGGGAGTGCACTAACATAAGGTTGCACATTTCCCTTGTTCCCTTCTTGATCCTGCCAATGAAGCACCTGAGCACTCCTTGATGGTGTCATGGCCGCACCTAGGCCTACTAAAGTATTATCTCCTGGCTGAAGGGGCCATGACTTCGGCCAATCATTTTCCGAAATTATACTTACATCCGCACCTGTGTCTAGCAGGCCCTGAATCGACTTTCCTCTAATGGTTAAGGTCCACAGAGGTCGATCTGCTAGAGATAGGGACAAGGCTGCAAATTTCTCCCCTTGGGGTCCATGAACGTCCTGCGCTCCAATCATGATTAGTATTTGAGCCACAGGTTCTTCTGGTTTGATTTGAATAATACCCTTTGTAGATTGTATTAGCACTTTTAACTTATCAAAAGGTAACTGAATGACTCCGGTGATGACCATTAGGCCTCTCAAAGCATTTGTTTCTTTTCCTATGATTATTCCAAGTCCGTTATGCTCCGCTGAAATTGCTTCTGCCCTCACCTCTATGGCTTGTGGCCCCATTTGAGGTGTCAGTACCGAATATTCGGTGGCTCGTAACTCTGCGCGGTAAATATTTGGTTTTGGGACCGTGGCACCCACCGATTGTTTTGGCCCCGGGGTGCAGGGGCCCACATTCCGTTTTTTTGCTGTTGACCATATACACCTGATCTTCTTATGGGGCCCGGCTCATTTGGCATCCTCTGGGGATTGCCTGCGCTGTTTATTTTAAAGTAACATTCACTGACCCAATGATTTCCTCTTCTACAGCGTGGGCAAAGGCCTGGTCTTCTCGAGTTCTCTATGCCCTGCCGATCTCGGGCTGGAAATCTGGCCCTACATTCCCTCATTAGATGCCCTTCTCGACCACATCTAAAGCATATACGTCCCCTCATGTTCTGTCTAAATTGTCGGGTTACTGCTACTGCAGCATGTGATCCAGAAACTACATCATCCATGACATCCCTACAGATTTTCAAAAAGGTAGGGATGTCCTTATGCTGCCATGGTCTAA